GTGCAGAATCAGCAGACGCCCAGGGCCTCCTGCGCACTGGCCGCACCAGAGCTCTCAGCACCCTGAGTCAGACCGTTCCACTGAGTAGAATTCTGGTCTGCATATCCTGCTTAAAGATATACACACCAGTAGTCAGATGATGGTGATGGCTGGGTCTTTGTAGAGCGCCATGCACTCTGCAGGGCCTGGGTCCATGTGGGAAGGGAAGGCTTCAGGTGTGGAGGGGAGTGAGCTGACCAGGCACAGTCCCAGACCATGTGTGCAGGATAGTTCCAGCACAGCGTGACAGAGCTGGCCCAACGTGAGCACAGCGCGCTGCGTAGTGCAGCGAGAAGGTGAACACCATGCCTGGCCTCCACTGTCACTCTCCCAGACCTTCCTCCATTGGGAGGGGTGGGACCCAGGCTTGGGGAGGGCGACTCCTTCAAGGTCCTTTTGATTTCAGTTGATAGAAACCCTTCTGAGATGCTGTCTGCTGCAAAGCGGCAGCTCTCCGATCCCTTTCTCACTCTTCCTGGCTTTATCGTTCTTAGCTGTTATTTCAGTGTAATGGTCTGTCCTGCTTTCATCTATTCTCATCTACTTGAGTCTGTTCTCTTCTTTCTTGCTGTTGTCCACTCTCTCATCTACCATCCTGCCCTGTCCTCAGCCAGGATTCTGCTGAGTGAGTCTAATGGGAATCCCCCCATCCCTGATGGTTCCTCTCGGGCGTTCTCCACCCATTGCCCACTGCCACCTTGCTTCTTGCTTACAAACCCTCACTTATCCTCGTTGGAATTGGGTCCACTCTCTCCTAGCCTGCAAGACCCTAGTGCAGTTTTACCTGCACCTCTCACCATGGCACCCCTTGAATGGAGTCTTCCATGTAGTTTTTAACAAGTGTCGAGAATCATGTTTTCTTTAACACAGCCAGAAGCCCCTCCATGTACAACTGTCTCTTGGGCATCTCACTGACATCTTATGTTCCTCAGGTCCCAAAGCAAATTCTTCTTCCTGGCCAAAGCTGCCCTTTCTCCATAGTCCCTTGTCTTTGTCATTGGCACCACCGCCACCCAGTTGCTCAAACTAGAAATCTAGTAGGTAAGAGCATAGGCTCTGAGCTGGACTACTTAGCTTTAAGTCCTGCCTCCTTTACTCACTGTGTGATCCTGGCAAGTTACCTAACACCTCTGCTTCAGCCTTTTCATCAGTCAAAATGAAGATAACAATAGTACTTCCATCAGATAGTTTTTGTGACCATTAAATGAATTAATATTACAAAGTGACCACAACTATGCTGGGCTCTATAAATGCTTATTAAATAATGAATATGAAAATCTTCAACGTTTGATGAGTCACCAATACTGTGTCGATTCTACCTGCTGTATATCTTTGACCTGTGTACTTCCTGCACCTGCACTGCTACCACCCTGGATATGTCCCCCTCACTGCATTTCTGGATGGATGGCTGCAAAAGGGCAGTCATCCCTTCCTCTAGTCTTGTCCCCTTCAATCCAGCCTCTGCATTGCTACCAGAATTCTTTACTTAAAACACAAAACAACCATGGCTCTATCGTTTATGTGACCCCAGGCACTCAGCCTCACTGGTCCATGGTTTTCTCTATTGCAAAATGAAACAGCAAGGTCTTGCATTCAGGATTATTGTGATACAACATACATAAAAGTGATTGTACACAGGAGGCAAGCAACAAACGTGTTTCCTGGCAGACTTAGACCAAATGATCACGTCACACTCCTCCTTGAAAGCCTTTCATGTTCTCCACTCTTATCATCAGGTAGAATCGACACAGTATTGGTGACTCATCAAACGTTGAAGATTTTCATATTCATTATTTAATAAGCATTTATAGAGCCCAGCATAGTTGTGGTCACTTTGTAATATTAATTCATTTAATGGTCACAAAAACTATCTGATGGAAGTACTATTGTTATCTTCATTTTGACTGATGAAAAGGCTGAAGCAGAGGTGTTAGGTAACTTGCCAGGATCACACAGTGAGTAAAGGAGGCAGGACTTAAAGCTAAGTAGTCCAGCTCAGAGCCTATGCTCTTACCTACTAGATTTCTAGTTTGAGCAACTGGGTGGCGGTGGTGCCAATGACAAAGACAAGGGACTATGGAGAAAGGGCAGCTTTGGCCAGGAAGAAGAATTTGCTTTGGGACCTGAGGAACATAAGATGTCAGTGAGATGCCCAAGAGACAGTTGTACATGGAGGGGCTTCTGGCTGTGTTAAAGAAAACATGATTCTCGACACTTGTTAAAAACTACATGGAAGACTCCATTCAAGGGGTGCCATGGTGAGAGGTGCAGGTAAAACTGCACTAGGGTCTTGCAGGCTAGGAGAGAGTGGACCCAATTCCAACGAGGATAAGTGAGGGTTTGTAAACAAGAAGCAAGGTGGCAGTGGGCAATGGGTGGAGAATGCCTGAGAGGAACCATCAGGGATGGGGGGATTCCCATTAGACTCAATCAGCAGAATCCTGGCTGAGGACAGGGCAGGATGGTAGATATCAAGGGTGGTCAGATTCCAAGGGCGGGGGATTCTCACCAAACTAAGTTAGGAGCTTTGCTCAAATTGAGTTCTGCAAGGACAGAGAGGGAAGCTCAAGGTCAGGCCTAGCCAGGCAGAGGACTCGCAGGAGGCTGACTGGACTTTCAGTCAAAGGAGATAGGCTTTGTCAGCTGGAGATGGACATCTCGATTCCTCAGTATGTAAGAGGTGGTGGAGCTGAAAGTCGCCAGGGGTCCCTGGGAGTCAGAGAGAGAGAGAAGGGCCAAGGCCCAGGCCTGGGAATGCCCATGTCAGGTAGGGAGGAGCTGGATTGAGGAGGAGGGGCTACCCCAGGAAAGGCTGGAAAAGGTGCTGTCCCAGGGCAAGAATGTTTCAAAGGTCAAGGATAAGGACAGGTGGAGAGGGGCTGAAGAGGGTGTATTAGATTGGGCCACATAGAGAGCCCTTGTGGGCTGGGCTGGAGCAGCCGCCATGGAGCTGTAGAGGGTGGAGGCCAAATACAGTGGACTGGGCATCAAGAGGGGGCAGTGAGTGTGGACAGACCTTCCAACCACAGATGCAGAGAGAGGGGATAGGAGCTTCGGGACCAAAGAATGTCTTTTGGCATTGATGGTGTTTAAATACTGGAGGAAGTAGACAGTAGGGAGGGGAGAGGGGAAAAATAGCCACGTGGGAGGAGATCAGTTGATGGCCCAGAACCCCATGAGGGGTGGGAGAAGAAATACGCTGAGGTTCAGCGCTTCCTCCTCTGACGTAAGAGCAAGGTGGGGGATGGATGCAGAGAAGTGGGAGGGACAGAGACGGGTGTGCAGGTGGAGAGGGAGAGGAGGGATTCGGGGATACTGTCTGCGTTTCTGACTTAGATTTCCGTGCGGATGGCAGTGCCCTTACTGATGTTTAGGGAGGGTTTGGGGAGGAGTGGGTGGAGCTGCCTTGGAGGTGCATAGTCAGCTGCCGATGGTGTGGCCCTGGGGCTAAGGAGAGGAAGGAGTTGGTACTAGAGGTGTACACCTAGGGTCATTAGCATCCAGAGGTGACTGTCAAAACCTGGGCATAGGTAAAATAGCATAGGTGACCTATACAGTGAGAAGAGAAGATGGCTGAGGCTGGAGCCTCCAGGGAGAAAGGAGAAGAGAGGAGAGAGGAATCGGGGTGCTGTGTCTGAAGCCAGGAAGGGCTTGGGAACGGAGCAGCAAGCAGTGTAAAGCCCAGCAAAGCAGTTGGATCCAACAAAGGAAAAACGTGTTTTGGATTTAGCAGTAAGGAAGTTGGTGACCTTGGCAAATGCCTTTTCCATGGGGTGAGGGAGAGAGCCAAACTGGGGTGACTGTTGGTGACAGAATCCAGCAAAGCAGAGGCGGCAAGTGTAGATGGCTCTGAAGAAAGCCAAGCATTTTGAATTGTATGGATTTCATCACTACGTGAGTTTCCTGCCAAAGAATGTTGGGAATTCCGAGACACAAACAATTTACACAGCCACACTTGTCCTCATTGGTCAGAGCATTTGCAGAAAGTGCTCCCCGAACTGCCTCCTCCCTCTCCCAACCTAAGGCAGAGGCTTACGCAAATGTCTTTCTCTTTCTTAGGCCGGATCTTGGACCTGAAGACTGGGACGGTCAAGAAAGAAGGGCAGCAGTCATCCATGAGGATGTGCATGGGCTCTCGGCGGTCTTTCATCTGCAGGATGAGGTCTGTTTGCGGGAGCGGCGGGCCCTCTCAGTGGTTGGTTTGCTCCCTTTTGTGTCACTGTTAAGAGCCTTGACCAGCTCCGCTGAAGTCACATATGCTGACTTGGGATCACTCCAGTGACTTCGTCTTCTTGACCTCAGCGTGTGGATATACAGGATCCTTGGTCTAGGAAGGATTCCCTCCATCCTCCTGCCATCCCACTTTGTCTAATTTCCTACCATTTTTTGCTCATTCCTAGATTCACACCCCTTTGTCCTCTGTATCATTCTACTTCCCACCCATCTTTAAGACCCTTCTCCATTCCAACCTCTCCAAAATTCCATAATTCTCAACATGTTTTATATTAAGACGGCCTGATTCCACACTTATTCATGTGTTTCTTGTCACAATGCACACGTGTGATTGGTCTTTATGATGTTGTTGATTGATACGTTAGGTGTAAATGTCTGGGTCCCATGAGTAAATTATAGCACCCTGAGAGTGGAGGCTTTGATTTAGACTTCTCTGAGCCTCCCTGACATCTGTCAGAATGTTCTGTATATATTGGGGTTTATACATCATAATTGAAGAAATGCAGGAATGTCTGACTTGGGAGTAATCAGGAGAATTTTGCTGTGTCCTTGAAGAAGAGAGAGCTGGGATCTTGAATTCTCATATCTAGTTCAGCACCCCTGTACTGTCAACCCTGTGTCCCCCGAGGGATGGTTGGCATGAACTGCAAGGGGGGAGGTGCGGGACAGAGAATGGAGACGGTCTGGGCTGTGGAGTTTGTGAGGCAGTGACACGAGGTGATGCCGCTCATTTATTTATTTGGTTATTCAAAAAATTTATGGTAAGGGCCCATCTGTGCCACATGCTCTTCGAGGTGTTGGGGAGTCAGTGTTAGGTAAAGCAACCAAGGCCTAGTGTGGTGGCTCACACCTGTAATCCCAGCACTTTGGGTGTCCGAGGTGGGCACATCACCTGAGGTCAGGAATTCAAGACCACCCTGGCCAACATGGTGAAACCCTGTCTCTACTAAAATTACAAAAATTAGCTGGGCATGGTGGCATGTACCTGTAGTCCCAGCTACTTGGGAGGCTGAGGCAGGAGAATTGCTTGAACCTGGGAAGCAGAGGTTGCAGTGAGCCAAGATCGTGCCACTGCGCTCCAGCCTGGCAACAGAATGAGACTCTGTCTTTAAATAAGTAAATGAATAAATAAAAGTAAAAAAATAATGATGCTGGCAAGAATGTGGAGAAAAAGGAACTCTTCTACACTGTTGGTGGGAGTGTAAGTTAGTCCAGCCATTGTGGAAGACAGTGTGGTGACTCTTCAAAGACCTAAAAAGAGAAATACCATTTGATCCAGCAATCCCATTATTGGGTGTATACCCAAAGGCATATAAATCATTCTATTATACAGGTACATGCATGCATATGTTTATTGCAGCACTATTTATAATAGCAAAGACATGGAATCAACCTAAATGCCCATCAATGATAGACTGGATAAAGAAAATGTGGTACATACACGTCATGGAATACTATACAGTCATAAAAAGAAAATGATAATGTCTTTTGTATGGACATGGATACTGCTGGAAGCCCTTATTCTTAGCAAATTAACACAGGAACAAAAAACCACATACTGCATGTTCTCACTTACAAGTGAAAGCTAAATGATGACAACTCATGAACACATAGAGGGAACAACACACACTGGGGACTTCCAGAGGTAGAGGGTGGAAGGAGGAAGAACATCAGGAAAAATAACTAGAGGGTGGAAGGAGGAAGAACATCAGGAAAAATAACTAACGGGTACTAGGCTTAAAACCTGGATGATGAAATAATCTGTACAACAAAGGCCATGACATAAGTTTACTTTTGTGACATACCTGCACTTGTATCTCTGAACTTAAAATAAAAGTTAAAAAATAAAAGAAGATGCTCATCAGACAACTAGATGGAGAAGATAAGCAGACAGTTGGATGTGTCATTCTGGAATCCAAGAAAGAGGTTGAGGCTGAAGATGTGGACCTGGGGATTGACATCAATAAAATGGTATCTAGGGCCTCAGATCTGAGATGCATGTGAAATCACAGCAGAGGTGGGTGTAGACAGAGAAGACAGAGGATGTGGTGGTAGGGGGGAGAACCAGTAAAGGAGACTGAGAGGAAGCAGAGAGGCAGGTGGGAGGGAAGAAGAGAGGGTGAAGGAAGTTTCTAGATAAAAAGGAGTTATCAATGGCCAAAAGCTACTGATGAGTCCTGAATGTGAGGACCGAGGATCCATCACTGGACCTCAGAGGGAGAAGCAACAGGAGATATGGCACATAGCAACACAACAGAGGCACTCACTAATGTCACCCTCACCTAATCACGTGTTGCAGGAACTGTGACTTGCCACTGGGGCATCTGTTGCGTACTGTAAAGTTCCAAACAATAGGTGCTTTAAAATAAGTATCCGTTTTCCATAATCATAGTAGTCTTTTAAGCAACTACACTTTTTAAGCAAAACCTGTTTGTGTGATGGCTGGTTGGTCTCCCTCAGATCAGCAAGGTCACCTGTGTTGTGGGGAGACCTGCCTCTCCTCCTCTTTGAGCCCTCAGAGCTGGCGGAGACCTTTTGTTCTGTTATCCAAGAAATGGCCCTTCTGGGATGTGAGCCTCACTGTTCTTTCCTCCTGTTGAGGTTGAGCCTCTGGAGTTATTGAAGGCACAGATGGAATCCTCTTCACTGCCTGCCTCAGGTCACAGGCTGGTGCTGGAATGACAGAATGCACGCCTGTCTTTAACTTAGGACCGGTTCCCCAGACTGCCTGCCTCCCCTTCAGCAGCAGGGGCAAGCTGGGCAGCGGGGTCCACTTGCATTGCTGCCTACCTGGAGATGAAATGCCATCAGCTATGGAGTGTAGTCAGTCACAGAAGGTTTGTCTTGCAGTGCTTGGGTGAATAAATGCCTATCCTAGCTTAGTAGACGTTCAGAGGGGCCCTAGCAATACATATTCTTAATTGTACCATCTAAGCAATTCCATTATGAATAAATTGATGGAAAGTGCCATAACATATCATTTCTATTAGCCTATAAAGCCATTATCACTGCCCTGTCAACGAAATTCATGCAGTCCCTTCCCTGCCCTAGTGTCCTTCCAGGGAGCGTGATATTGGTTGCTCTTTGAAGTGCAAAGTGCATACCGCCTGGGTTTACCTGAGAGGTGGGCAGCACTGCCATCTACTAAGAACATAACATTTTCCTCCAAATAAAGTAGCTTAGTTTCAGCAAGGCAGTGGACACAGTCAGCCAGAAAGGGGCAGAGGTCCATGACAGCATCCCTGGGCAGCAGTGTCAGGGGGTGATCCTCCTGTGAAGACCACTAGTGCTGGCAGCTGTCTAAGGTCTCAGAGTATAATTAGACTCCTGTCCCTGCTGTACTGAACATTTAGATATTCAGGATATTGCTTGTGATGTAATCGGGAAATGGAAACGCACATGAAGAAGGGTTATACCAAGCAGCAGTCAGAGCCCCGCCATGGTGCAGGCTTATGCTGAGAGGGAGGCAGGAAAGCTGGTCCCCAAGTGTTCAGTGTAATGTTGCACATCCCCTGCCTCCCATAGAGGGACCCACAGAAAGAGTGATTCTCTACCTGTTCATCTCTCGTCCCCGCTCTCTTCTCTGCCATCAGCAGGCTTCCAGCTGTCCGGTTATCTCTAGTACCAGAACAGTGTATGGGAGGAGAGAGTTTCCACAGCTGTGATGCTAGAAGCCTGAAAAGATGCTACTGTTCATCAACTGGCAACATCTGTTTTGAGTTGATGTCTCTGCTCAGGCCTGAAGGGACATTATTGCTGTCATCACCCTCTTCCCTTCTTTCCTGAAAGCCATGGAGTTCCACCAAAGTGATCTGCAGGACTGAGCGTGGCCAGGTTTCTCCTAGAATCTTTCTGTAGGACTCCAGCTTCTAGCCTGGACCCTGAAACAATTGCAGTGTGTATTGTAAAGTGGGTCACAGTTTCCTTTTTTCAGTGGCAAACAAAATTCAAAGGCATGCAGGTCTGCTTCTGTACTTTTGAAGAAAACTGGCTGCAGGTCTCATCTGAATAAATGTGTGAGCATCAATTAAGGCTCATCTACTTGATTGCATAACCTTGCCTGGGTCTTTGCTCATTCTAATACATTTGTCACATCTTAGGTGTGGAAATGCTCCTTTGGACCACCTTCCTCTAAACAGAATAACTACCATGAGGAAAAGGTTCAGGTCAGTAACTCTTCTAATGTAATTTTGGGACTGTTCTGTTAGATAGTCTAAACACCCTAAGCTAAGCAGCCCAGATGAAAGAAGGGGCTTTGTATGGTGAAGACCAAGAGAACCAGACATCAGGGTGGCAGTGGCAGAGATGAGAGAGAACAGGGAGTTGGGTGGAATTTGTTTTTGATCTTCAGACCATGTGGGAAGAAGGAACACAGGATGGTGGGGGAGCCAAGATTCAAAACCACAAAGGCAGACAAGGAAAGCCAGTAGCTTAGATGCCAAAGGAGTCATCAACATCTTTGCCTCGCCTTCATATGATGAGAACAATTTCGCAAATGTTTTTTTTAGGAATGGCCTTGGCCCTGTGAAAGAAGGAGAAGCTCAATATGCTGTGGTCCACTGCACAGGATACATCAAGGCCTGGCCACCAGCGGGTAAGGAGACCTGCATATAAATTCCAAGGGAACTGGGTGCTGCTCATACCTGACCATGGTGTCCTGTTAGAAATGTATTCTTTTTTTTTTTTTGAGACAAGTTTCGCTCTTGTTACCCAGGCTGGAGTGCAATGGCGTGATCTCGGCTCACCGCAACCTCCGCCTCCTGGGTTCAGGAAATTCTCCTGCCTCAGCCTCCTGAGTAGCTGGGATTACAGGCACGCACCACCATGCCCAGCTAAGTTTTTGTATTTTTAGTAGAGATGGGATTTCACCATGTTGACCAGGATGGTCTCGATCTCTTGACCTCATGATCCACCCGCCTCGGCCTCCCAAAGTAGAAATGTATTCTTATAGGAATAGGTAGGAAAATATTTTTATTTTTCTTGGTAGTTAGAACACAGTGATCTTTGTAAAAATATCCTGCTACTTGAAACAAAGCTTTCTATAAAGAGCTAATTGTACACAGGTGATCGGAGTCTTAGCAACACATGTCTATGTTCTGTCACCCAGAGCATTCTATAAAGTCAGAGTGGCAATATGAAATGATGGTTGTGTTTAAATCATTACAGAAATGTAAACAAAAGCCACCATGACATACAGCATACACTCACTAAGATGGTTAAAATAAAAGAGAGGTAACAACAAGTATTGGTGAGGATGTGGGGCAACTGGGATCCTCATACATTGCTGGTGGGAGTGTAAAATACTAGAGCCACTTGGGAAAACAGTCTGGCAGTTCCTGAAAATATTAAAAACAGAGTAACCATATAATTCAGCAATTTTCACTCCTACGTATATACCCAACAGAATTGAAAATGTCAGTCTAGAAAGAAATCTGTACAGGAATGTTCATAGCAGCATTAGTCGTAATGGTCAAAAAATGGAAACAACTGAAACGTACACCAGGTAATGAATGGACAAATAAAATGTGGTACATTCTTATCATGGAATATTAATCAGGAAAAAAAAGCAATGAAGTATTGATACATGCTATGGACAAACCTTAAAAATATCATGCTAAGTGAACAGAGTCAGACGCAAAAGGCGATTCAGTAATGTCATGGGGCTCCTTGTCCATGGCATGGATGCTCAGGTCCAATGTCTTGTGAACCCATCAGTTTTGAGTACTTGAGAAAACAAATTGTATTAGAAGTTTGTTTGATGAGAGGAAAATAAGAGCAAAAGGAATGTGGGCCACTGGGAGGGAGATTTCTGAGCATAGCCCAGTTCACTGAGCATGCGTGCTGGCCCATGGGTGGTGTGGAGCCAGGCTCTCAGGGGTACAAACACAGACCCATCCTTTAGGGATTGCAGGGATTGGTGGGGAGATCAATGCATGTGCAGGTGACTACAAGGAGTGTGGTCAGGGCAGTCAGCCTTGGGGTGACAGAGGAAGGGTCCCTAGCCTGCCTGGGGTTAGGACAGGCTTCCTGAAGGAAGCCCATAATACTGCAGGGTCTGTACTGACAAATTCTGCCCCATTCCAAGGTGACAATCTCATTCCTCTTGATGCTTTCTTCATTTGAGTTAGTTAATCATTCTCATTTTACCAGGCAAATTGCTCTTCCTGCTTCTGATCTCAAAGTGATCTTTTTTTTACCACTTTATTTGAGTTCCAGGCCCCTGATATTACATGGTAAATGCCTTGATCATGGAAAGACTCACTTTTAGTGTCCTTGTGGATGAGAGTGAGAAAGAGGGCTGAGACTCAAGATGCAGGCAGGTGACTGCATCCAGAGAATCTGCAAAGAGGATTCAGGATAAGCTTTTCTGAAGTTGCGTGGAGTTCTGTGAGTGTGAGTGTGAGTGTGCAGGTAACAGGGCAGTGGGACTGTTACGCATTAAGGCTTCAGCGGTGGCCCTTGAAACTTTGCCGCATGAGAAATGATTGAAGGAGCCAGGGGTATTTATCTTGGAGGAAGTGAGACATGATTTCTGTCTTCAAGTATTTGAGGGGGTGTCATATGAAGGAGGAATTAATCTCACTTAGGATAGTTCCAGAAGGCACTATTTGGATGAAAAAGGGGAGGTTACCAGAAGGCAGGGTTTAACTTAATAGAGAGAAATGAGCAAAGGCAATGAACAGAGTGTTAAAAAATGTATATATAGAGACACTAAACATATGGAAAAAGTTAGCCTCACTATTCACCAGAACTGCAAATTAAAACAATTTGTTACCATTTTCTCTTACCTATCAAAAGGCAGAAAATAGACAAGTCAAAATATGCAATAGTTATAAGGTTTAAAAGAAAGGACACTTTTATGTACTGCTAGTGAGAAAATAGGTTAGTACAAACCTTTTGTAGAATAACCTGGAAGTGTGTATTAAACGTCTTAAAATGTGCACCTCTTAAGATTCAGAAATTATGCTTTTAGAAACTTATTTCAAGGAATTAATTAGAGATGTATGCATGTGTGTTAAAGCATTAATTAGAACTGTGAAAACCTCAAATTAATCTACATTTCAATGACAAAGAAATGGTTAAAAATAGCATGGGACACCTATATGATAAAATACTGGACGTAATTAAACAGGCATGCTTTTAGAGGATATTTAAGAACAGGGTAAAGTGCTGAGAAGTATTAAAAGGAGTAGCAGGCGATGAAACATGCACTTCATGATCCCAGTTTTATTTTTAAATTATAAACGAATCAAGTGAATCTGTGCGTTGAAAACTTTTACAGAGAATATTAATCACTGTTATCTCTGTATAGTCAATCATTGGCTACTTTTTCTTTTCATTTCTGTATTTTCCAGATTTTTATATGACATTAATAATCAAAGAAAATGTCATTTTTGAGAAATCAATCTAAATTTTCTAAAGAGGCAGTCCAGACAATAGGGTTGAGAATGTCTGCACTTAATTTAGAAGTTGTATATTTTTGTTTGCTTTTAGATTTAGTTGATCACGTTTCTGTCAAGATAGAGGTTCTGGAAGACAACACCATCTCCATGCATGATGATGAGAGCATGCCTGCAGGATACTTAGCTAAGCCACTTTGTTCTGTGGCTGTTTCTTGAATACTAACTACTTTCTTAGCACATAGAACACTATTTTGTGCTTACTGTTTAGATCCCTCAAGAGCAAGAGGCATGCTTTGTTCATCATCTCATTCAAGTGCATAGCTCAGACCTGATGGTTAGTATGTATTTCATGAAAACTGGTGGGATGGACGGACAAAAGGAAGGAAGAAGGAAGGAAGAAACGAAGGAAGGAAGGAAGGAAGGAAGGAAGGAAGGAAGGAAGGAAGGAAGGAAGGAAGGAAGGAAGGAAGGGAGGAAGGAGAGGGGAGGGGAGGGGAGGGGACGGGAGGGAGGGAGGGAGGGAAGGAGGGAGGAGGGAGGGAAAGGAAGGAAGGAAAAGATGGAAGGAGGGAGGGAGGGAGGGAAGGAAGGAAGAAGAGAGGGGGTTAAAAGGGAAGTTTTTTCCTAGACAAAGAAATCACTGACTTTGAGGGATGAGTATAGGAAAGAATTTCTTACCAGGGTTTCCAAACAAGTTTAGAGAGTCTTCTTTCCCGGAAGTCGTTGAGGATAGTGGAGACAATTATCTAGCCTAGATGAGCTAAGTGAAATGAGGTGGTGGCACTCTTACCCTATTATGAGGTCGTGGAATTAGAGCATTGGAGCAGCAACTCACTCAATGATTGGATGACACCTTCTAAGTGCTCACAGGGAACTGCCCTTGCTTGCTCATGAGCTCAAGTTCCCTAATTACCAGCAATAACTTGGTTAAGAAGTATGAAGATTCCTGAGCAGCAAAGTTGCTATGTAGGGACATGGATGAATCTGGAGAACATCATCCTCAGCAAACTGACACAAGAACAGAAAATGAAACACCGCATATTCTCACTCATAGGTGGGTGATGAAAAATGAGAACACATGGACACAGAAAGGGGAGTACTAAACACTGGGGTCTATTGGGGGGAAAAGGGGAGGGCCAGTGGGAGGGGGAGGTGGGGAGGGATAGCCTGGGGAGAAATGCCAAATGTGGGTGAAGGGGAGAAGAAAAGCAAAGCACACTGCCATGTGTGTACCTACGCAACTGTCTTGCATGCTCTGCTCATGTACCCCAAAACCTAAAATCCAATAAAAAAAAAATATCTAAAGGCAACCTTGAAAATCCTTAAAGGTGGGCAGCAGAGGTGGACTTTGTGGAGTGAACAAGGGTTATTTGACAAACCACTTGCCACATGTCTGCTTATCCCTGAGAGGGCTAGTTGTACACTGATATTCTTTCTCCTCCCTGCAGACTCCCTGTTAAATGTAAATGCCACGGTGTATTCTGATACATTCCAGAAGCTCGTTCTGTTACACAGTGGCCTTCCCAATTAGCCTCACCACATTTTATACGAAATAGGTTTCATTTTAAATATTTGGAATATGACTAAAAGAAAAGGAAGAGTTCTAAAGACAATCAACTCCCTTGTCTAATGCTTCAATTGTTCGTTCTGTCAGAAATCACTCATGACGGGCTGTGTTTTCCATTTTGTGGGGTGCATTCAAAACCTGAAGATGTGAATTGCCTCCACCCCATTGTTATCACCCCAGCACTTTGCATTTCACAGACTGGCATTCAGCTTTGAGCCAAAAGTCTTTTCTAACAACAAAAGCTTCCTCTCGAGTAATCATCATCTGATCTGCCTGGTTCATCACCTAATAATCCATGGAAAATGCCAGGTTAACTGGCAGTGTGTCTGTACAGGAGAGCCAAGGTGTGACCCAGGGGAGGGGGAGCTTGACCCAGAGCAGATGACCTCCCACCAGGACCATCTGGGTCAGGAAGAGGTTCGGGTGTGGGCTCCCTTGTGTCCTTTCTTAGTGGAGTGGTGAAATGATGCCTGTCCTCACTTTGCTGCTAGACTGCAGTAAGCTTTGGCCACAGCATGCCAGAGGGCTGAGGTTATTTTG